TCATCCTGTCACTTGCTACATGGGAGAAGAGACCAATCCCCACCTCACCACAGCCTCCTTTCAGGTAGCTGTAGATAGCAATAACTCTCTCTCAGCCTCCTCTTCTCCAGGCTGAACCACCTCAGTTCCCTCAGCCACTCCTCGTAGGACTTGTGCTCCAGACCCTTCACGAGCTTTGTTGCCCTTCTCTGGTCATGCAATGACTTTGGACAGCTGTCAGGGCTGGCACGGGCAGGCATGCTGGGCCTCCAACCCCTGCCTTGGGTGGGTGAGGGCCAGGCAGCAAGGGGTTGGAGGTACCCCGGGAAATCCTGGGCTGAGCATCCACTAGCTCTGCTGGGGGCGGCACGCTCCTGTGCTCACCAGCACAAGCCGGGGCCCGTTCACACCAGCACCTGCTGCATCAGCCACAGTCACACCCGCTGCTTAGGGCCAGCTGATCGCCCACCATCCCCACGTCCTCCTCACCAGAGCCACCTCAGCTCCAGGCAGCAGGGTGTCTGTTGTCTCAGATCGGTGTCTGCCTGCATCTGGGAAAGATGCTCCCAGGCACTTTTTGCGAAGCTGGAAAAGCTGCCATCATCCTATTTTCTTGTCATCAAAGCTTACGGCAGGGACAGACCTTCCTGTGTCCTTTTCTGCTAATGGGCCCTACCGGAGTTGTTTAGATCTCCAGAAAACCAGAGCCCCCAGATGCTGCACAGCTTGTCCTCCTACCAGAGGATATTTAGGCCGTTTCCAGCTCGGTCCTGAGTAACTCAGTGTTTTGATTCATCACGGTGATCTAAGGTCCCAAGGATAACTCATGCTTGCAGATCTTTAAGTTCTGCCCCATTTCCTCTCGTAATTCACCAGTCCTTTAGCAATGAGACATAGTATAGTATTATAAGTAACTAACTGTTCTTTTTTTCTAGCTATGTGCCGTCCTTGTGACAATGTGGACCTTCTTATGGCCATTTGCAGCAGTGATTTTGGTAAGCTGACTAAAGGGAAGTCATTCTGTCTTTAATTAGGCATTGCTTATTTGGATTTATTTGCTACTTTTCTTAAAATAACAGCATGACTGTGCTCTCTGATCCGAGAAGTAAACTACCTGCATGAAGAAGAATTTGAATGGGGTGAAAAAAATTACAGTAGCTGTCAGAAACCTAGAGGGAGCAGCTTCTCTGTCTTTGGAAACTAGTTTCTTGTTTTGGTGTTTTTTGTTTTGTTTTTCCCTAGTTTTTATAGTACCCGCCATGCTGATCAAGTAATCCTGTTGTCTAACTCTCTGGGAACTCTTCAGAGAGTTTGTTCCCCAAAACCTTCATCAGCCTAAATCACTTGGAGAACTTCAAGTGGAAAAGTCAATTTGTAACATGTTTTGTGGGTGCCTTTGTTTTGGCTACTTTTTAAAAGCCTGTTTAGCTGTTTGCCACAGGGCACGTGGGTAGGCACCAACTTGCAAACCACATGATTCCACTGAGTAATATTAGGAATCATCACCCCTTGCTGCTTCCAGATGTAACTTAAGCTGGCAGATGCTGGGCATCACCTAAGGCTGTTTCAAGCAATCCCACTGTGCATACAGAGTCCTTCATCATTCATCTTCCTCCAGCTGATGACCATGGTTTTGCTTACCCAAAAAGAGCTCCAATTTCATTTGCTGGAGAGGATGTTCCCCCCATCCTCAGCTAGGATGCAGTGTTACAGGTAAAGGGTACAGAGCTCAGGTGAAGGAGGTAGTTTAGGGAGGCATTTGCCAGTCCAGAGGATACCACAGCCTATGCAGCTCTCCTCTTTTTCTCTCTTCCCCAGTTCTCACGTAACTCAGTGAGCAGTAAAAGACCTGTTATTTGTGCACTATAGCATCTATCTCTGCCTTCCTTACTGCTTGCTTCAACTCTGAGCACAGAACACAATGTTTAGAGTTAGGGTTTACCACGAGTATTTATTGAATTCAGACTATCAGGAGTAATTCAGATTGCAGCTGGAAAGATCAACAGTCATCTTCTAGAACAGTTACAAAGCAGAGTTATAAAAGAGATGGCATAAAATCACGTCTATTGCCCTGGCAATGATGTCTAGCTGACACATCTATACGAAATAACGTACAGTATACATACCGAAGTCCACGGCTGATATATCAGTACAATCAACGGTTTATCATTACATAAGCATTTATTTTTCACACTGCAACATTTTACTGAATTGAAGAAAAGATTAAATCTAAGCAGATCAGTGTATTTTCACTGGGCAAGTGTTTCTCCATTTACTGTTACTTGTACATTAATATGCAAATCATTCCACATCCTCGTGGTTTTATTAACAGCAGAATTAGTTCTTTTTCTAGACTAGATAAGCTAGGTTCTTTATAGTATTAAAAAAAGAGAATTACAATTAAAAGCCATGCTTGCATCTACATTTTGTTTAAAACTAGTACAGCTTTGATAGTTACAGGATGAGTAAAAACACTTCAGTTTTGCTGAAGAGGCTTTTGAACCATTATTTATCATGCTGTAACTAATTTTTCTTCTAATGTTGTATCATCACCCCACTATCCAAGATACCTGAAGCTAACCAAAAAATAAGTTTTTCAAAGTATTAACAATTCAGTTATGCATTTCTCATTTCGTTCCAAATTAACAGAAACTCATTCTTTCATTTCTAGTCATTCACAGCGCAAAAGAAAACAAACAAAAAAAGAGAATCAGGAATACAGTGGCAGGTTTGTTTCATTGCCTACAGTAATCCAGAACACCTTCTGCGTTATATACCGTTGGTCACACACCAATGTCGCATTTAAAGAATCCAACCTTGTCTAGCATGGTGGAATAAGAGCTCTTCTTTACTTTGCTTGAGTATTACTCCAGACTACGGCTAAAGCAGCCCATAGACTTAGAGGTTAATATTAACAACCCTTCAAAGTCAAGAAGCAAGCAACAGAAAACGTGGACTTCCTCCACTGCACAAACCACCGGAGCACTTTTTTCCCATGAAAAAGGGGACAGAGTACTCCTTCAGCACCCTGCTGAGTGGATCTGCAGCCCTGTGACACAGTGAAGCAGCCAAAGGGACAAGATTTCTCAGAGGAAACTGCTCTTGTCACTCACTGCTGAAAAACTGGAAGTGCAGGAAAAGGTTTGCATTCATTGTTGGCTTCTAGCAGGACACATCCTCCTTCTGCACCTTTTGAAGCGTTCTGCTTAGTTTGGCAGTTTTAGTGCTGACTGTGCTTTGGAAAGCTGAGACCCTTGAGATAGTACAACTGCTCCAAAGACAACCACAGCACTCTTAGCTCCACCATCAACACCGTATCCTATTCTGACCAAAGAAATGGAAGCGTCTTATCAGACTGATGCCATCCTTGACAAATACTTGGAGATTACAAATCAAGTGAAAATAGAGACACCAAGCCCTGAATTCCTGCAAGTCTCTCTAACGCACTTTGGCTAATGTGAAACGGAGTCACGGAGGTTCTTCCGAGCCTTCTAACAATTCCCTTCCAAACTGTCAGCAGCAGCTTTGTGTTTTACTTCACAAGTCCCACAAGGGGGAGTTTTATAAATCAAAGTCCAGGAAGCCTCTCGTGTGACTTTCCCCATTCTTCATGGGCTACTACAGGAAATAAGAGCTAGCACTGTAAGTCCAGAGGCATCAAGATACAGCCCCAATAACTATGAGATCCAAATACCTTGATTGCCTACTGATTGTTTTAAAGTTGTAAGAAATGCCAAAGTACAGATTCCTCTGTACATGGCGAGGACTTCTGAAGACATCCACAACCCAAAGCAAAGAACACCTGGAGAATTAAAAATCCATCCCAGTGGGAATGAACGTATGCTCTCCTTTGTGGTAATTCTCTGTATGTTTCAAAAGACTTGTCTGTCTGCCCCCAGGCTTCATGCAGAGCAGAAACAGCATTTTCTAGGTACTGTGCGTGCTGTCTTCAGACTCCTCAAATCAGAGTCTCAATAACATGTAGAAATCCAGTTTCTACCACCCAAACAACTACAGATAGACCAGCAGAGACTATCCCACCTCACAAAGAGGAAAAGCTTTATGATAGGAGACCCTGCTTTAAGTGAACAGCACATTTATGCTTCCTACACAAGCCAAAAATGCATTCCCTGAACTCCTCAGCACACAAAAAAACCCCAACAAAAAACGAAAATACTGAAGAGCATTCAGTGTGAAGATGTGAAGCATGTTCTGGGTCAGACCATGAGACAGAATGCTTCATCCCACAAACTGTATTATTACAGGGTGCACACCTTTGCTCTGCAGAGTGTCTTCCTGAAGACTCTCTGGTGTATTCCCAGTCTGAGTCGATGTCACTTATTTCCTAGTGATTCTGACACCATTTCTTATCCATCAACCCTAAAAGTCTCTCCATTTCTACTCTGATGAGATTTGTCACACTGGCTTTTATAACTTAGCATCATAAGACCTGAACTTACTGATTTTAATAGTTCATTCTGTGCCATCTCATGGAGTCATACACTGAGGACGTTATTACAAATCCTGACTATGGACAACAGTCTGTATATAGAGGAAAAGGCCACACTGAGACCTACCTCAAAGCCTGGAACCTGAATTTGTCGAGGAATTCTTCCCATTTCATTCTCAAAAGTGTTACTGCTACCTGTGAAACACATTTAGGCCTGAAAATTAATTCTGAGCATCCTTTACAACAAACCACAGAAGCCACAGGGGCTACTGAACACATTTAACAATGGTTCGTATCGTAACTTTGCTTTTGGAAAGACAATCAAGGTCTTTGCAAAATCTTACACTGTAGTTTTTACTATCGATCAACATTTTACTAAATCACTATCCAAAGGCTTTAGCAATTGAGACCAAAGAATCAGCAGATTTCCCAAACTGCTTAAAAGAGCTAATGATTTTCATCTTTAACAAACAATCTTCGAGACTTCTTAGGCTAAGACGTACAAAGAGTTGCTGCAGGACTGATTATCTGCATGCAAGTACTTAGGCGAACTAAATTAAGATACGAGACCTTACTGTTTCATTTGGCAGAGAGAGAGAACAGTGCCACTGGAAAATAACCAGAAGGCTGGGTACAAGGCTTCAGTAAACTGGGTTTTGAATTTATAGATCAAGTTATGCTTCTCCCCAACAGCCATGAAAATCACAAACCCTCCCTCGCAGTGGAGCAGCACACCAATCTTGGTAGCCTTCACATTGGGTAAGCACTTTTCACCATCATTATGCCAGGATGATATTTTGGAATTAAACCACTCAATACACCAAGAACTGCTGTTCCTCCCCAGGCGGCTCTCTGGCCCCTGCCGCGCCATGCTGCCGTAGCAGATGCCAATGCCACAGAAGTTGTTCTGCTGCAGTTCCACTTCCCAGTAGTGGATGCCTCTCTTGAAGCACTGGAACCCCAGCACTTGGACACAATCGGTGAAGCGCTGAGGGTGGTGGTTGTAACTCAGGGGGGTGTCCGAGACAGACATCCTGGTGTATCTCTCAGAGAGAATCACTTTGTTATGAGCTGTGTTGTAATCCAGCGTGATGTTAGCAGCATCTGCAACGACATCAACCATTTGAAGGTACTGAAGAGCAAAGCACTTTTATTTATACTGTCCTGCCTAGGCTCTTGTTCCTATTCGTGTTTATCTCCCTGCTCTGCTCCCCTCTGCAGTGCAGGCAGTTCTTAGGGCCACAGTAACGTCTGCTGGGTTCAGCTGCAGCTCCGTGCTACACAGCATGCAAACAGCGGGCAAATTTCCCTCCTTCTTGCATCCCCATGGATTCCTTCACCACCCAAACAGATGCTGGCCGACAGGGGATTGCTGATCTGGCAGCAAAAGGTGCACCATACTATATGCCATCTGGTACAGCACCTTAAGCAAGCCATCACGGGCTCACATAAAAACCTGCATTTCATTTCAAAGAAAAATCCAGTGTGTTACACCGTATTTCTAGGTTACACTAATGCAATCATTTTGGGGGAAACCAAAGCCACGACTGAGAAAACTTCATTTACCTTCACAAACATACATGAATACCACAGATAAATTTGATTCATTTGGCAAAAGAACCACTTAGAAACCTCCTGCCCCCTTTTCCTCCAAAAACACTCAGAAGTACTTCTGTCAGGTGACTGCAGAGGGCACATAACACCAGTGCAATAAGTGCGGGAAGTTCATCTTTAAGTAGTGTAACATTGGGTGTCTTACACTGCAAAAGCTCCTCTCTGGATTTCTTCAGAAAGCTGTCAATAAGTTCTTTAGTTGCAGCATTTGATGTTCCCGTGGTTGGTGCTGTGTCAACAGAAGAAAAAGAGTTTGGCCAGTTGGGAAGAAACCCGGCATGCTTAACCCACCATCACAGAGACACGCAGGTTGGAGCAGACCTCTAGAGGTTATCTGGTTAACTGCAGTATTAGCTCAGGTTGCTCACTGTCTTGTCAAGTTTTGAAAACCCTCTGTTCTCTCTGAGCAAGCTCTTTCAGTGCCTGATTGCTCTCACGGTGACTAGCAAGAGCCTTCTCAGAGCAAAAGTTGAACTTTTGCTTAACACACCAACACTAATAACCACCTACTTACCATGTTAAGAACAGTCAATGAAAATTAGAGTAAATATGCTGAAAGTTTGGACTCACCAGCTTTAACAAGTTTCTTTTTCTCCTCTGGAGGGGAAAAAAAAAAAAAAAAAAAGAACTGTGAGTTCTACTGGAACTGAAAAGCCACTGACAGACTACGCCAGCTGTAACTCCATTATCATGGCTCTTCTGAAGCTGCAGCAGTAGGTAAACTGACAGTCCAGCACGCTGAAGCCATTTACAAACACAGGCATACTGGAAAGCTATACATGACGCATAACCTACTGTTTGCTTCCTATTTCACAGGGTCATTAGCCTGGAAGGAGCTTTAGCTGTACTCCAGGATGCAGCGTGTTAGGGCAAGTGGTAATAAGCCTGCTCCCATGAGGCACCTAGACTATTCCTTTTCTTTTTACAACAGACCTTCCACTGCAGCAACAGGAGCTACAAGTCCATTCAACACCAGCATCCCCCACCGACCCCACCAAGTGCTCCACACTCAGGACTTCTGAATGGCAAGAACCACGTGTCAAGAGCTCAGTGGAAGTAACAGATGTAGTTTCTTGGATTTATTTCAAAAAGAGAATACGGAAGATCTTCCAAACAGGCTAGAGCGCTGCATTAATACCAACATCTGGACAAAACAACACTGAAAGGCCCCAGTATAACCTGCCATGAAGACTGTCTCCATCACCCCTGCCTTAGACTGTGGGCAAGACAAGGCCAGGCAAATGTTTGAGTAAGGCTGCTGTTAATCACCACTTACTGGTATCTGCCTCCACTGGTAAAGTGGCTGGAGTCTGGTGCAGGATTTTCTCTTTGTGGGTTTGCTCTTGTGAGGGAGGGAAAGAAAAAGCACACCACATAACATGAACAGCCCATAAGCAAGATTCAACACATACAAATCCACCAGAGAAGCCAGCAGATGTTTAGTACAAATGAAAACAACCCGGCAAGAACCAGAGGAGCCTGCACTGACACCACTACAGGCACACACTGAGGCTAATGCACCGTCGTAGCTGGGCAGTTCGCTGCTTTGCAGCTCACAGGCACCCAGCACTAAATAGCCCCGAATACCGCCCTTCCCCACGCCAAAGCGCTCACTACAGACAATCGCTGCATCACCGCTACAGCAAACAGCTCTCGGGGAACCGCCCGAGTCCTTATTAAATGGTAAAACCATAGTTAGGAGAGGATGATGTTCTTTAGTACTTACGTGGTCCCGGAGGCTTTTTTCCGGCAGAGATTCTGTTTTGAGGAGCCACTGGAGAGGGCTTAGTTTTCCCAGCTGTTAGTTTTGCTGCAATGGCAATACTTTACATTATGGTTTGTATTGCCAGGAACAGTAATGCATTAGCAAGGATTTGCTAATTTTTCAATCTTATTTTTCAGTTATGTGCCTAGAACTTAAGTGATACCTGGCAGAGATGGAAATTGCATAAAGATACCCGTGTCCCCATTCAAAAGACACTTTTGCTTAACCTGGAAGTAGGGCTTTGCTCTACAACTTACACGATCAGCACCTTTACAGCTGGGTAACAAATCCACATCCTAACTACATCCAACCTTGACACATAATAAAAACATAAATTACTACAAGGAATAAAGGCTGAGCTGTGCCAGAAGGGCATAGTATCCCAGTACTCATCAGCTTATCCAAGTACAGACAACAGTGAGGAGACACTGTCACGTTTTTTTCCTAGTTTAGCCTAGACTGCAGCATTTTAGTGTGGAAATGGAGGACCACAGAAGTTGGAAGAATTCATATTAACCAACTGTATTTGCTGCACTGTTTTTTTTTAATGATATTTGGATTGGAGGGGGAAGATCCCTCATTTGAGCTCAAAGCCAAGGCAGAAAATGCCAATTCTCCCAGTGACACAGTACCTTCCGCTGTTTTCTCCCTACCCTGCATCACTGCAAGTTTCACAGTGTCTTTAAGGTTAATGGCAGACTGGTAAGTAGAATGTATCAGGGTTTGGTCCATTTCAATTGCAGGAACAAAAGCTTCTTTTGTTGATACTTGCTGCAGTGCTGCTGCTCTCTGAAATGACAAATGGAAGACCTCATGCAGACCGACTTGTGTAGCGGACACAGAAAAATACAGCCAAGTTACTTTAAATGGGGTGAGGTTTGCACGTTCATCTCAAGTTCAAAGGAGCAAAGGCTGCCGTCAGACATGCAAAATTTCAGCAGCAACCCACATGCATCAATTCTCAACCGAAGCAGCGAGAAATATCTACTAGATGGCATCACAGCACGGAGCTGGAACACCTCATGGAGATGAGTTCTCTCACCCACTGGCCCCTCTGCTTGCAGCAGAAGTCATGGCTGAATTGGGGGGAGTTACCAGACACCATGTCAGCACTCCTTCATTGATAATGCTGTACTTATCAGTACATCCTTTTACAGCAGGTTCTTGCAGGTGACTGCATCACCATTTGACTGAAAGTGTCTGGAGAGCAGGACTGCCACAGCAGGTTTTTGTGGTTCTGCATTCTAGAAATAGGAAGAATTGGATTTGCATTTAAAGGACATATTACCTTCAAAAACAGAATGTCATCACCTTCAGTCAGTGCCATCTCAATCTGATCACTGAGAGCCTGAATTTCCTTCTTCTTGCTTCCCAGAATACCATAAATATAATCAAACTTATTGTAAACTCTTTTTTCTTCATCTTCCATTATTTTCAAGGTCTGATTTTCTCTTTCTTCGATTAAAGCTTTAATTTCTGAAAACTCACTTCTGATCAAATCTTTCTTTCTGGAAGCTGTCTCCTGGAGCGGACAAGAACAGAGAGACACTGGTTGAAAAAGAACAGCTTGTGGACAAAGTACTGCTTACTGACACTGCAATAAAGCCTTTGAAGAGCACACAGGCTTCAATTACTTGAAGCAGGCAATAGAAAAGCTAAGTATGTATTGTATAAGTATTCTATGTAGTTTGGGAAGAAAACTCATTTACTCCCAAGGAATCAGGACAATTCTCAGTCTCCAGATCCCTTCTGCGGGGGCTGCTGGGCAGAGCCCAGGCCAGCCAGGCCATCTAGTGGCTAAC